TTAAAGGCATATTCTGGCCATTGAATGTTGGAATCAAACTAGAAATGTCTTTCAATGACATAGTGGACACAGAAGGCTGAATGTTCTGACTGATCGAACTCGTTTGACTCCTAGGTTGTGACAAATTACTAAACAAATCATCTGAACTGTCTAATGTGACATTAACACTTGAATGATTACTTGTTGATGGTGCAGAAACTCCTCTCGTCTTACCACGTCTATTTCTTGTAGGTGCCATTTTTAAAATTTTACTAAAAATTCTAATGAATCTATTGGCTTCTCTCTTTGCAAAATATAATAACTAAAATTTCGTGTGCTCCCTCTAGATATGGACAAGGTGCGGCCTATAATCAGGTGTATCTCTCTGAAAACTCAGGAAAACCGCAAAAAACCTGAGCAATACCCTGAAATGTCCATCCTCTAAATAATATTTATTTCTAGACTTACAATTTTCTCTTTACAGCTAATCCAAAGGAAATACTATTTCACTCTAATTTCACTCTAATTTCACTTTAATTTCACTTTTAAATTTCACTGATTGCCCATAAAATTTTCTATCACTTGACACTTAATTCTGCCTGACGGGTCTTCCTGTCAACTGCTTGGCTGCAACCACCCTGGACCTCTTGACTGCAACGACCTTGGACCTCTTGACTGCAACCGCCGGAACTCAATAGCATCAGTAACATGATTTTCTCGAATTTTCAAATTTCAATTCAACGTTCGATGAATGCGGCCATCCCACCGCTGTCACCAATTGTTATGTCCTATCAATGTTACTAGGAGGACAGTGGCGCCTTTTTGAAATAACGAGCGCCAAACTTCGAAATGTGGATCCGTTAGCCGCTAAACCTCTGATGAGGACTCCATCGATGTTGACTCGTTCATTTTTTGAATAAATGGGTTGAAGGTGTATTCCAGAATAAATCAAAACACTAGTGCTTAGGAGAGCACATTAACACTATTGATTTTAAACTTCTAATTTAAACTTGAAATCTTTGGTAGACAAATACACTTGATAAAACTTTTATGGAAAACTTTAAGAAAAACTAATCGAAGAGAGAAGCTGGAACAGTTGTCGGAACAACAGCCACGATGGGACGGTCTCTAACTTAAACTAAAAATCTAAGGGTTGGGTCCATACACCCCCACTAGACCAAAAGTTGCGCGCGCAATCTTGGCCCGGAATAAAAGGAAGAGGGGTAACTTAAAAGAGAAATCGGGAAGCGAAAGAGGGAGAAAGGGGAGCGTGTGACGTCAACAGTATTCCCTCTTGAGGGGTCTCAGGCCCTTCAGCTCCGCGATACAATGAACAAAGGAGAACTCAACACTCAACACGTGTGGAACACGTGAATCAGAGAGACTTTCTAAATATCTCAGAACCGAGACTTAACAATTTTACGACCGTAACCGTCGAGTTTATTTTCTCTCTATATTTCAGAATTTCAAGAAAAGTATTGTTTTGAGGAATTTTGGAGAGCTGTAAATTTACGAAGTAAACTCAAGTATTTGACATTTATTATTTCCGGCAACGGTTTTTCTTACGCCTGCGAAGTTGTTTTTCGTCCCCTGTTCATTGTCCTTTCATTCTCGACTTTTCTCAGTATTTAAAGATTTTACGTTATTTAATTAATTTTTTATATTAATTTGAATATCGCGGACAAAGATGGCTGATCATTGCTACCAACCATCAAAATCAGCGTCAAGACATCACAGGTTTGGTCGAGGTGAGTCAATGAAAACCATTTTAACCACGGTTAACGCCAAAGAGGATTGACTAAAGTAGAGGCTCAGATCTCGGGGTTAGACTGACCCCAAGCCAAAAGTAGTTCGACCCCAACGGAGGGATGCCGCCACGGTCGAATCTGACGGCTGAGCGAACTGCCTGTGCGGGTAACTCGTCAGTAGCAGTCCCGCTGTCACAGGGATAATTTTGAAGTGGAATTTGTGTCCTCCTCGTCCTCAGCATGTTCTTAATGTTTTTCAGGTGATTTATTTGCTGGCTAATTAATATTAAGGAATGAAACACAGAGGGTGTGATGGAGAATTAAATTCCCCATCAATCGATCCCCGTTGCATCCCTTAATCTCTGTAACAGAAAAATACAAACTACGACAAAGTCATGGGCCAGTGAGAAAAATAATTTTGTTCTCGGCGCACAGTGACTTTTCACCATTCGCTCGCGAATTAAAAATTCACTTCTCCCCTCCTAATTGAGATTAAGGGATGAAAAAAGAGTAGTTCGACGGAGAATTAAATTCC